TTTTGGGGGGGGGGGGAGTTTAGGTAACCTCATCATATGATCCTATTCATGAACTGATGAAGGTCTGTCTTAAAACTAGTTAGATTGCTTTGCTCACCCTACTCCTATTGGAAGAATTCTCCAAGAACCTCAGTCTTCTGACGGTCAGAAAAACATCAAGCCAAAGTTTACCCATGACCAGGTTGTATTGCTTATGTTCTCATACCAAGACTGTCCTTCAGCTCATAGTTTTCTCTCCTCTGGTATTTGCCCACCATGTATTTATACAGAGCAATCCTAGCCAGTATCAGGTATATTTTGCTAGATTAAACAGGCTCTTTTGGTTTCCTTCTGTAAAGACAAACTCACTATTCCCCCACTTCTTCCTGACTGCCCTTTTCAGTACCTGCACCAGTTTGAATTTGACTTTTGTGGCATGGATGACTAGAATTGTACAGAATAATCCATATGATTCTTCTCACCAGAGGCACAACCAGCCAGCTTTGTGCCCTGGGCCTACCTTGTGCACAGGCTGCAGCAGCAGCTATTTTCACACTCCCACTGCTATGCAGCACCCATGGAGTAGAAACAGACACCATCGGTAATCTCATTTGTACCACTATAAAAGTTTTTATGGAGGTACAAATAATGAGCAAAGAGAAGGGGGGGGGGGAAAATCAGTGGCACACCCAAATGTGGTAAATGGACTCTGCCACGTTATTGCAAAGTACATCTATTACCGCTGTGGTAGAAAAGTACAAGCAGCCTTAGCTGACTGTGCTCTCCCATCACCCTTGGCAGTTGCCCACTTTCCTCATTCATGGAGAGGCACCCTGGGGAATCTCCCTCCATAAGGGTGCTTTTTCTTGCCCAGCCAGATCCAGGTCTTGAGTCTAGCTGTGTAGAGAAAAGCCCTTCTTTCCCCACTCGGTTAGACTTGTCCCTGGTGGTGATCACCAAGGATGGGTCTGGCTAAGAGGGGAAAACAGGGAGATCACATCACCCCCAGTCCCACACCATCAAGGAGAGGGCAACAGGCAACATAAGCTTCACCCAATGAAGTGATCAGCTGTGCCTCACCACACTGCGGCACAGCCTATCCACTTCATTTGGTAACATCTGTCTCTAGCCAGCATTGCTACCCCAGTCACCCCTGAACAGTTACACCACTGAGTCTCATCAGTGCCTTCTATAACATCATTTACACAAATTTGCTTTCACAGCTGTGTCACATCACCGGCCTCTGTACTCACAAGATGATTTATATAGACAGGCCTTTTTCCTCCTCTATCATTTCCAACTGATGAGCCACCCACCATGCAGTCTCCCTTCCTCTCGTAATAGAAATTCAGAAGCCTACCTATTGAAATGCTAAGCTCCCAATGGACACTGGAGTCATCCAAAAAGCACTGCAGTAGCAAAGAAATCAGGAGATCCTCATTTTATTCCACCTCCTGCTTTTAAACATCTTTATGAATGTAGTTAATGCCTTTTGCAGCCAGTACCAGTCTTTCCATGCACTTCGGCAAGCTCCGATTAGACTTAAATCCACACTCTCAGTCTAAATAGAAGCAATAACGGTAACACGTGGTGCAAGTAAAAGCACCACAACCAAGCACAGGTCTAAAACAAAACATTAACAATAAATAGCAGCATTCAGAAATGGATTTGCCATCTCTGTCTCCCTGCCAGATCATTTCTTTAATAACCAGGTGCTTCCAGAATATGTTTATAACGGCAAAGTGTGCTAAGTAGATTTTTTACCCTTCAGTTGGTCCCTCTGCAAACATATACTAAGCATCTCAGCAATGTAAATGTGGCAATAAAGCACCCAGTGCTAGTCACATTTATTCAATAAAATCTTTATCAGAGTTGATCTTCAGTTTTTTTTCAGGTTTTCCAGCCCCAAAAGCAAGTCCAATAAGCTACACAAGAATAAAAACATTCTTTATTTGCACCAAAAATACAAACAGCTACTACTTCAAAAGTAGACATTATATATATATTTATCATCACACTCACCAGAAAACAAACTTAGGTTAAAAGATTAGCAGCCGAAAGAAATTTAGGTTTCTTTTTTTTCTGATTATTTTCTGTACATCTTTTTTTGGAACAGAAAATTCCAGGAAATAAAGAAAACTCTTTACATTTTCCTATGGAAGATATATTACTAAGGTGATAGAATTATGTAAAGAAAGCTAGTATTACAAGGTAACAAAAAGGAATAACAGAAGATAAAGGTTGCAGGTATTTCTTGACTGTAAACATTGCTGCTGGTTAAAAACAAACCAAAACAACACAAAAAACAGCAAACAAAATATCACATGAGTACTTTTGTTTGGCTTAGCAGCCAGGAAAATAATGAAAGCTGCTTTTTTTTTTCTTTTTTTAAAGTGCTTAACCCCTATATCCAGAAGTAATGACTTTCAGACCTACTTAATATGAATGTGCTCAAAAAGCCAATGCTTAGGGTATAAAAGCTGTCATTCTGTAACCCTGCACATACAAACTGGCTTTATCTGCATGAATGAAAGATTGCTTTGAACAGTCCTCAATCATATGATGTCTCAAATCAAAGTAATGCTATTAGGGGCAGCAGCTGAATAAAAATCCCAGCAGGCTGAAATTTGAGTACAATCAATATAAAAATAGGCATCTTTAAAACAAATAAAGGCAATTTCCCTCTGTCCTAGGAAGATAACTGCACACAGTAAGGAACATAAAACATTTTTCTACTATTGTGACAGCTTACCTACAACAAGCTGAAGTGTCAGCATGTTCCCTAGAGACAAGAAATCCAACCCTATTTAGGCTTTAAACACAAATCAACCACTCCAAGTAATTCATGATTAGCAGAGGGATATAATACTCCCTACTCACAAAATGCAAAGAAAGCAGTGGTATTAATAGCAGCCAAAAGCTAACACATTTTGTTACTTAATATTAAGGGACCTCAACTTGATTTTTAAAACTGACAGTATGTTCCAAGTCTGTTTCGAAAAATGTTAGGATCTTTTTTCCTACGTTGATGTTTATTCAGGTCTTTTTAGCATGGGGGAAAAAGTGACTGATTAGCTATACAGACAGAACCAAGAAACCAAGCAATCAAAAATGTCATCAAACTACAGAAAGTTAAATTAAAAAATGCTTTTTAGTTAGAAACTTCTCACATGAGTAGTTTTCAGAAACAAATGTATTTTATGTGCCCTTTAATCTTATAGTTGTAACATGGGATGGAGTATTGACCCTTTATTACAACCATCCTCATTTCAACCACCCTTGAGGGTTTTGTTTTGTTTTTTTTAATTTCAGCAAAGTGTTGAGAAAAGTTGAGGACTGATCTACAAGACAATTTCCTATATTAGCACACAACTAAAAAACTGTGCACTTAAGATGTCAGTAGGCCTATCAACTTTAGTGATTATGGTACAAGTTTTTGTGTCTGATCTACAGAGTACTATAGGTTTTACATTTGTTAATATTAACCTTGTAAAAACGAACCTAATTTTAACAGATTCTAGAAAGTTAACTAAGGGCAACAAAATTCAATACAGAAAAATCATAGGTTTGAGAACAATATATTTACCTTAAGACTGTTCTGAAGTTCTACAATAGCTGTGTTTTTCTGCTAGTAAACATTACTTTGTTTTAATAAGAATATATTTTTTGACAAAATATGCATAAGCACCTTCTAACTTAAACCACCACAGGCTCTAACCCAAGCAATTCAGCATCTCCAGTGACTTAACTTTTTTAAAAGGATAAATCAAAATATACAAATAAAAAGGAAAACAATGTTGATAAAGTAAAAGACCGACACTAACATATACCCAACTATATCCATGAAGATGTGTTATACCAGAAATAAGACTCTTCACACACAACATTTGAAAAAATAGGATTTTAGTGGCTTGTGTGTCTAACCATTTAAATATGTAGTACATTTCCAAGAGAGCTGAATGCTGCTATTATCTGTGATCACCAATAATGTGCATCACTGGCAGTTCTGCTCTGTTTGTAGCTGGCATTGGAATTACGTATTCAACTTTCAGACATTTAAAGAGACCATTTAAAAAAAAAAAAAAAAAAAAAAAAAAAAAA